GTCTATTCAATTCTGTTCCATAAAAGCAGCCATAGATGATATGTAAACAAATGGGAATGCCTGTGTCCCAAGAAAACTTTATTTACAAAAGCAGGTGGTGGGCAGGATTTAGCCCACAGGCTGCAGTTTGATGATCACTGGGTTAAATCCCAACCAGCACTTATATTTTATATCTCTCACTCAAGGTTAGGCAGTTCAAGACTGGAACTGGTGAAGCAAGGGTGTTGCCCTGTGAATTGCATTTCTGTGACAGTCCCCTTTTCTGGCATGGGTAAGAAGACTATGACACTGGAGGCAGGGGTAAGAGGGAGTCATAATAAGATGACTTAGATAAGTCATAAGTTATCTATGTCACAGTGAATTTGAGTAATTAATGACTGTGAATTTGCGTGGGAAAGTTTAAAAGTACATGTGTGTGAAGTGTCATAGTGAAAAGCTGTTTGCGTGAACTGTGAAAATGTGTGTCAGCATATAAATCTTCATCAGTATTTGCATAAGTGAATATGTGTGATGATGGCTGTATAAAGGAGTGTGTGTGAAAATGTGTGTCTGAAAGGAAGTGTGTGTGTGTGTGTGTGTGTGTGTGTGTGTAGCAGAGCTAGAATTGAACCAAGGTAGGTCTGACTTTGGAGCCCATATCATTTTTCCTGTATTACATTGTCTTACATGTTTTAGAAGTTGTGGCATAAATAGGAGAATTGGAAGGGAGTGGGGTGGAAGCCCAAGGAAGGTAGTTTAGCTAGTCAACATAACAAAATGGAAGTTTTTAAAACTAATGGAAGCTTTGGCCCTAGATAGTCTTGATTCAAATAGGCTAGCTGCTAACAAGTTGTTTGTCTTTGGACAAATTGAGTGTCAGTTTTTCTGTGCTTAAATTAGCTATAGTTTCAATTACATAGGGTTTGTGTGAGGATTAGAAATAATAACTACATCTAACACTGATTGGGTATTTAATATTATAGTTGCTATTTTAAAACTATGAAGTATTAATAATGGAAATTGAAGATTATGAATAAGAAGTGAAAAGTGGCATTAGATTTGGTAAATGTGATGTGATAGATCATTTTCAAGAAGGAATTGTCAGTGGCATGCTGGGTTTACAAGGAACTTGGCAGTGGGTGAAGATGAAGAAGGAGGTGAGAGAACTGATGAAGAGAGAGCACATCCCTTCTTCTGGGAAACCCAGGTGAAGGGGAGATGAGACACCGGAACATACTTACCCAGTAAGGAGAAGGAGCCAACAGAGAGGGAGAGGTTGAAATTACTGGAGAGTGACGGGTTAATGGGGAGAGGTGCTTAAAGAGAAGAAAGTGTTGGGATCCAGTGCACAGATGGAAAGCTTGGCCTTAAACAGGAGGAAGAGGGAAAAGATGATGTGAATATAAATAAATTTGTAGGTGGCAGAGTGAGGGTGTGGGAGTTTAAGGGAATTAACAATAGATGACTATGTTTTTCTCCTTGAATTAGCAGTCAGAAAATCATAATCATCTGATGAGTGGAAGCAAGGTGGAGTGGAATGGATGGAAGCACCTGAAGTGACTGAAGCCAGTCTGGGAAGCCAAATTCCAGCTCCATCATTTGCAAGCCAGGTGACCAAGGGTGGGGGTGCTGCTTAAATTCTCCAGGCTTCATGTGCTCTCCTATCAGTAAAATGGGGAGATGGCTACAGTTACCTCAGGCTGTGGTGACTCAGCACAGTACCCTTCCTAACTCACCTCTGCCTCATTCTGCAGCCTCCTCCCCTCCGCATCCATCTTTCACAATCCTGCAAGCCAGAGAGCTGCCTAAAAAGCAGACCTTACCACGCCATTCTGTCACTACAAAGCCTTCACTGGCTCTTATCACTTTGACATAAATCTAAAGTCTCAGATCTCTTAGTGACTTGGCCCCTACCTCACTCCTCTGCAGTATTTTTTTTTATCACTTTTATTGTCTCTGCCATGTCCTCTTTGCTGTTAATCTTGAATCATCCCAATTTCCTTCAAACTTCATGTTCTTTCAGATCTCCATGACTTCATTCAAATTCTTCCTTCGTCACACGCGGGGAATTGAGGCAGGCCTGCAAGGAGATTAACTACTTCTCCCTGTGGAGCCAAGTCCCTTAGACAGGGGTTGCCACAGAGGATAAGAAAATTGATAGGTAATAGAGAGAATAAAAGAATACACAAAGACTAAGGTATAGTTTATAGTTTTATATAAAAAGATCAGATAATCACAGTGGGGGTACTCAGGAGACTGGACATATTCTTTGTGAATGTCCAGCAATATGGTTAGATTCACACAGGGTTTTATAATCACAGATATCAATTACCAGTTGTCAGGGTAACATATTTGCATATCAGGGAATGCAGTTGCTAGGGGAGACAGGTAGTGGGTTGTGGTCAAAAGTCCTCTCAAAGGGCTTCTAACAAGTTCTAATCTATCTAGGTGAACAAACAGGTACAAAGTCTTTCAGGGACTAACTTCTAAATTCTAAGAGTTAGTTGTCAATTAACAAAGATAAAACAAAAGAGGTATAGTGACTTTGTATTTCTTTGAGTTAGTTATTGTGGACTTAAAGGCAGACAGCCAGGAGAGAGCAGGAAGCCTGTTGTCTATAAAACAAGTTGTTTATAACCACCAGGGCGCGTCTCTGGGCAAAGGGCACTCATTGTCTCCAACTCCCATCCTGTGGGCCATATTTGCCCTTCCTTGCCTTTCAAGGAAACAGTGAGGTGCACAGATTTTGAGATACCGGGAAGCCTTCCTGGAAAACATCCCTACTGGAGCCATGAGAGCCCTCCCTTGACAGCAGCCTCTGATAAGTGAACCATTGAGTTCACACATTCCTTCAGGACGAAACCCTGGAAACTCCTGTTTCTATCTTTAATATAGCAATATTGGGTGATATAATAAAATAATGGTCTTATGGGCTACATCTCATTAATTGCTCAATCATATTTCCCTAACAATCACATTCCTTTCCTTGGCAAGCTCTTACTTATTCCTCAACAAGGTGGCACCTTTTGAAAGCATTTTCTGAAATTCTAGGGAGTTCTCCATGTCCCCACAGCTCCCTGTGTTTAGCTTTTCCTCTACCATGTCCACGTCATAGAGAGGGATATTTTGCTTGATTGTTTGTCTCCTCCTACATAGGTCCTCAAGAAACCATGCCTGGCACACATAGGTTCTCAGTAAGGTTTATTAAATTGATAGGAAAGTCAGTTACCATTTTCCTTTGAGATGCTCTTCACATTCTGGTGTTCAAACTGGAAACTGAAGTATTTGTTATTCACAGCTCTTAACTATTTCTAACAACCTGAGACTAAGGTCTATGGGATTCTAGAGCACGAGGGCCTCTGTTATACATGATGTAATCAATTCTTTCCTCAACTTTAGTTTTAAGGTGATAAAGAGAGACCCAGATCAGGGAGAATACATTTATTGAGACCAACATAGCTAGTGAATAGATTGGCAAAGAATTTTAGCCCATAACTCTTGACTTCCTGACCAGGACCCTTTTCACTGCTCCAACCAAGGAAAAATGATCTGTTCCCTCTCACCCTACTCCAACTCCACTCAGCTTCTTGAGAAGAGAGAAGAGGTGACTGCCAAATCCTGCACACCAACACACAGGTGACCTGGCCTGGGTATGGCGACTCCCAACTACACTGCTACCAGCCACTCACTCTTCATTCTTCTGGGCATCCCTGGCTTGGAAGACCAGCACACATGGATCTCTCTCCCCTTCTTTATTTCCTACCTTATTGCTCTCCTTGGGAATAGCCTCCTCATCTTCATCATCATCACTGAACGCAGCCTCCATGAACCCATGTACCTGTTCCTCTGCATGCTGGCTGTGGCTGACCTAGTCCTGTCCACTACCACTGTGCCCAAGGCCCTAGCCATATTCTGGTTCCATGCTGGGACGATCTCCCTTGATGGCTGTGTCACACAAATCTTCTTTATCCACGCTACCTTCATCGCTGAATCAGGAATTCTGTTAGCAATGGCATTTGACCGCTATGTGGCCATCTGTGACCCGCTGCACTATACCACAGTGCTCAGTCGTTCAGTAATCGTAAGGGTTGGCTTGGCTGTGGTCCTGAGAAGCTTCTGTGTGATACTCCCAGATGTGTTTCTGGTGAAGCGACTGCCTTTCTGCCGTAGCAATCTGCTGCCACACACCTACTGTGAGCACATGGCTGTGGCCAAGTTTGCTTGTGCTGACATTCGTGTCAATGTCTGGTATGGCTTGTCTGTCCTTCTCTCTACTGTAGTGCTAGATGCCTTGTTCATCTTAGTTTCCTACAGCCTCATCCTCTATGCAGTCTTTCAGCTCCCCTCCCGAGGAGCTCGGCAAAAGGCTCTGGGCACTTGTGGCTCCCACCTGGGGGTCATTTCCATGTTCTATTTGCCTGGCATTTTTACCATAATTACCCAGCGGTTTGGGCACCACGTGCCTCTCCATACACACATTCTGTTGGCCAATGTCTGCATGTTGGCCCCTCCCATGCTGAACCCCATCATTTATGGTATCAAGACCAGACAGATTCGAGAGCATGTGCTCAGTACTTTGTCTTCACCATGGAAACAATGCTGAGTTTGACTGATCAGGTGGTATGTTTACCAATATAGGGCTTAATTTTTTTTTTTTTTTGCTTACTTTCTAGAGACTTATGAATTAAGAGTTTCACTGAATGTGAACAAAGTAACTTGTTTATGGCTTTAAAAGTCAGATTGCCATGTGACCTTCAGAAGGGTAGTATTTATGAAAGAATATGAACTTTTGGATCAGAATTAGGCTTGAATCCCAGCTTTACTGACAATGTGTGTGACCTTGGATAAAGTACTTATTCTCTTAGAGGCTCCTTAGCATATGCTTAGGGTACCATAAAAAGAGGAATATCAAAACCACAGTAACCAAATAAAACAATGAGAAAATTTTACCTACGATAAACTTACCTATGGCATTACAATAAAAACATCTAGAATCTATCTTAATAATATAGATACATTTGACATCATCTAAAATATATTTTATTTTGAATTAGATATAGGAGGATGCCACAATTTTTACATTTCTTATGTCTGGATTATGCCTTGGTTGTGATAAAAATAAAGTATAAACAGGACCTTGAATATACATGACACAGAGTAAATAGTAGACACGTTTTTAATTTTTCTTTCCTTTCCACCTTACCATGTTTAAAATTTTGGTATAATAATTTCTGCCTCTCCAAATTCAAAAGAAAGTTATAGAAGAGATACAAAAATTCAACAGGCTTTGAATCTTAAAGGACAATATTAAATATTACACAGAATTGGAATTAGCGCTGGTAGTCTTCCCTTATTTCTCAAGAGGATTTTTATGTGACAAGGAAGGGTGCACCTGGATCATTTGTTAGAGACTTGTTACCTTGTGGAGGTAAGAGTCGAGATGCTATGAAATCTCTACTACTTGATTTCTTCTGGTGAAGGCCAAGGGGAGTGTGTCATCTGTGTCATGTGTGTCTCCAAGTATCAAGGTAACTTGATATGCCAAGGTATTTAGATTCTGAGAGATGAGAGTATTTAAGTTTACATCATTATGATAATCTCCTCCCACCAGTATATCAACTAAGGGAGCAAACCATCATTTACAGTCAGTTCCTCTTTTAAAAAGTTACAAAACTTATGAAAACAGAACTTTTTTTAAAACATAGAATTTTGCAATTAAGATATTTATTTTCAAATCTAGAAAATTAGTGGTCCTCTTCTTAAACTTCAGGTAATTAGTGCCTTTTTATTGTTGGAAGGATTAAATATGTAAAAAGTTCCTCTTGCATGACTCAATAATGTAAGAGCACGTTAGTTCTTTCCTAACCCTTCTTCCAACAGTTAAATGCAAACTAAATTTAGAATACCATGTTTGTTAGAATATATTCTTTGTCCCTTTTTCAGTGGGGGGAAAAGTGGAAGAAGGCAAATGTGTAAAAGTTGAATTATTCAGGACTTAGTTTTTTTTCTGATGAGTTCAGAAGGAGGTGACTATTTTTTTTTATTTTTTTCTTTACTGTTAGAAAGGGAACAGAGTTATTTGTACTCTGTCTGATTCATTTCACCTAGCATAATGCCCTCAAGGGTCATCCATGTTGTTGCAAATGGCAGGATTTCCTTTTTTATGTCTAAATAATCTAAAATATTTTAACTATTCATCCATTGGCAAACACTTAGATTGTTTCCATGTCTTGATTATTGTGAATAATACTATGAAAAACATGGGAGTGCAGATATGTCTTCGAGATCCTCATTTTGGATATATATACTGAGAAGTGAGATTGCTAGATCATATGGTAATTCTATTTTTAGTTTACTGAGGAACTTCCATACTGTTTTCCATAATGGCTGTACCAGTTTACATTCCCACTAACAGTGTACAAGGGTTCCCTTTTCTCCAATGTTTAAGTTTCATCTTATGTTTCATCTTTTTGATACTATCCATTCTTATAGGTGTAAGGTGATATTCCATCATGATTTTGATTTGTGTTTTCCTGATGATTAGTGATGTTGAGCACCTTTTCATCTACCTGTTGGTCATTTGTATGTCTTCTTTAGAAAAATGTCTATGTAGATACTTTTCCCATTTTTAAATTGGCTTATATGCTTTCTTGATACTGACTTGTATGAGTTCCTTACACATTTTCAATATTAACCTTTCATCAGATATACAGCTTGCAAATGTTTTCTTCCATTCTTTAGGTTGCCTTTTTATTCTGTTGATTGTTTCTTTTGACATTGATGTTTCTTTTGCTGTGCAGAAGATTTTTAGTTTGCTATAGTCTCACTTATTTTGCTTTTGTTGCTTATGCTTTTGGTGTCATATCCAAAAAATTATTTCTGAGATCAATGCCAAGGAGCTTTCCCCCCATGTTTTCTAGGATTTGTAGTATGGTTTCATGTCTTACATTTAAGTCTTTAACTCATTTCAAGCAAAACTTCTTTATTTAAGAACTTTTTGACTACCTTGTGCACACTACCAAGGCGTCTCCCTGATTCACTCCATACATTTTTACTAATCATCTGCTGAATTCAGATGAGTTTCCAAAAAAGAACTGAATACCAGGGTAACTGTTATAAATACCTTCTATATTAAAAATAAATCCCACAAAATTGAGGTAGTTGAAAACTTCTCTAGATGCCCTGTCATCTGCTTCTAGTTCCATGTCATTATGTTCTTTTTGGAAAGAATAAGAGGATGACGTTTATCTTACCTTTAGGGATGCTAGAAAAAAGTTGGTATGAAATAAATATGACATGGCAAGTATGGGGGATGCTGAGTGAGAATGAGAAGACATAAGGGCCAAGCAACCAGTGGGATCTTCCACAGAGTAGATTGAAATATAGTCACTTCTTTTATATTTCATTTCAAGTGAACACTTATTCAAAGGTATAATAGAACAAAACAATTATACTCCTAGAGACCTATCCTCCAAAATATATTATACGTGTAGAACATGCACACATACGTGTATATTCACGAACAGACATATGAATATTCATATTCATTGCATACAGAACGTATGTGTGATCAAGACTGTCAGGTAATGTTTCACTGGGAACACATTTTGGAAGATTTCATAGAAGCTCTGACTGATAATGTTCACTATGATCTTCGAGGGGGTATAACAGCCACCTCTATATATGATATTATTTATATATATTTATGAAACAATTATTTATGTTTTAATAGCCTCAAACTAGAAATTACCTAAATATCAATAATCATAAATTATAGTATATCCAAACAATGAAATGTGAAATAGCAATGGAAATGAATGGGTCACAATTACAAGAAATAAGGATGAATCTTACATATGTAGTGTTATGAACATTAGGAAGCTAAAATGAAGCTAGGCATAAAAGAATGGGTGCTGTATAATTACATTCATATATGATTCAAAAGATAAAATAAATCTATGCTGTATGTGTGATGGTGATTGCCTTTGTGGGCTGTGACTTGGAGGGACCTCAGCTGGATCTGCTGGGGTGCTGGTAACGTTCTGGATATGGATTCTATTACAGGGGTATATTTATTTTGTTACAAAAATTATTGATTTGCACTTTTCTGAATGCACATTTATGTCAATATAAAATGTAAAAGAAACACCAACATTTGCTAGATCATCAAGAAAACCAGTACAGCACTACTGGCACTCCCTCTTGGAGCTCCTACTTTCTTTTGAATTTCTAAAGAAACTTGAGGGCTTCTAGAGTCCAAAAGTAGGGAGGGAGGTGGGGACCGGCACATTTTGTAAACAGTGAGAAATGCCTTTTGACTGGCATATTAGTCACTTGTCCTGGAAGTGTAAATGTTTAGCCTCATGCAATCTGAGGTAAGATACTCCCTCATCTTCAATCTGAGTGTAATTTTCAGCTGGACTCCCAGGATGCATTCCAGCAACTATTTCCTGAGAACCTGCTTTGCCCCTGGCACTGTGTTAGGAACAGGGGATGCAATGGCCAAGCTCCAGCAGCCACACCTTTCTCAGACATTACCACAGGACTTGGGATCCCTTCTTTTCTCTCCCTAGGGCGGAATGGCTCTACCTGCAGCTGCTGCTCCTTGTTGTTGGCTGACCCTACAGACAGTGCAGCCTGGAGAAGGCTGTGGGCTCAATACTTCTATCAAAATGGTTCCCAAGGCAGAATCAGGAGGCTGAGAGAGGATGTGGCCACATTCTATATCTCTGGGCAAGTGTGTTTCACACTATGACAGGCCTGTGTTATCTGATGCTCTTTTATCACTATTAACCAGGCTGTGGTTGGGGAGAGCTTCAGCCCCAAATCCTGGGTTTCAGGAACTGTAGTAGGGAGGAAATTTCATCAACAAAGCACTCAGAGCCTCATGCTGCAGTGACTCACACTCCCCTGAGCAGACATTAACTCCCTCTAGCCCCTTCCACACCTTAGACCCTCCCCACCTGCAATCCCTCACCAGGCTGGGGCAATTCCTGCAGGAGACCCAGGGAGCCCAGCCCCACAGGTCTCCAGGCTCTGGCCGTTATCCTGTGGCAGCCATCAGAGGTCCAGGTCAAAGGTGAGGCCAAGAACCAGGTCGAGTGAGAAACACGCGTGCGTGTGTGCGTGTGCGTGTGTGTGTTGAGGAGGAGCTCAAAGGATGCACTGGTTGGAGACCTTTTCAGAGGAAGAGAGGGTGGATGTGGGTGGAATGAGGCAGAACCATCCAGGGCTGCGGGGTCTGAATCTGGAAGGAAAAAGGAAGTTTCTTCCATCAGAGAGAACTGAGGAGATGGAAACAGTGAGGGGTACTTAGGGTTTGAGAAGAGAGAAGGGAGGGAAGGAAGTTGCCACAACCCACTTATCGGGACACTCCAGAGGGAGTCCATGTCCCACCATTTACTTCTGACCCCAGAGACCACACCGCCCTCCTGGGTCTCTGTCTGCAGAAGCTGTCCGGTGCCTGTTCTGCCCCTCTTTGTCCTCCATCTGGAGGCCCCTGGCCCTGAGGCACAGTCTGAGCTGCAGACTTCTGAGAGGGCTCATTAATGGCTGAGCCCTGGGACTTAGATGGTTGCTTTGTTTGGGTTGCTTTTTTATATCTATTTACATATCTTCTTTCCACCACCACCCATTCAAGTAGGAGCCATGGGGCCAAGGGCAAGAGCAGGTAACCTGGTCACCCAGACAGGAAGGAGATGAAACCACCTTCACTACCACGCTTTCTCTCATGTTCTCCTCTCACCTTGGCTGACAGGACACTTCATCCTCTGCAGTGGGAGCATGTGGAGGACAAACTGGGCTCTTTCTTCCTAGTGCTCATGGCTTTAAAGCTGCCTTGGAACACACGCTGACAGACACACACTTCTCCAGGCTCCAAAACCCTTCCTTATGATTGGGGACATGGTCACATCCACTTCATACACACCTCTTCTTTGGGATCCCGTAGTGAACGCAACATTTATTCTTCTGGAGAAGTCAGAAAACTTTGCCCAAGAGCAAGCATTTCAGAGAAGAATGATATTAAAATTGCATGTGTCAAGGGGCATAGGAATTTACCAGTTGTCAAGGAGAACACTGAGAGCAGGGGATACCCCAACCTTGACCCTCCAGGGGCAGAGAACTCCAGGAACTTGGATTTTGTCACTGGTCAACTACTAAGTAAAGGGACAGCCTTGCAAAATTAACAGGAAAATATCGAATCCTGCAGTTTCCTAGTAACAGTTAAAGATCAATCCTATGAGTTCTTTCACTAACAGGCACCCTTGGGAGTTCTGTTTTACACAACTTCTGAAAAGAGCTCAACAGACAGAAAAGTGATGTAACTCTTTCTTAGAATTGCTTTTGAGGATCTGTTTTTAGAGTTCCTGAGTGAACAGCAGGGTCTGAGATTCAGGCCTCAGCCATATCTTGAGGGCAGAGTGACATCTCTTACAATAATCCCTTCTTCAAGGAAAGGCAGGAGAGCCAACTCTTGGACTTCGACATCGTGCTGCAGTTTCAGTTTCTTTTTTATTAGCTCTCTGCCAGGAAGAAAGAACTGAGTGGATGCAGCAGTACCCTATTAATCTGGCTACAGCTATAAACCTTCTTCACCTCCTAAATAAAAAGCCTGAGTACCTGGTTCTTTCTGCCAACATCCCTTTACTTCCTTCAGTTCTGTGTTGGCCCTTTTTCCACCCACGGAAAAGTAAAGAAACTTCTATCCTAGTCTTTGGAGAAGTCTTTATCAAGACCCATGTGCACTAGCTCTCCACACCCTAGGACTAAGAACATGGTCAGAAGGTGTCTTAGGTCTGTAAGGGTCAGAGATCCAGAGAGCTATACTGGTCCCAGAAGAACTTTATCTTTCAAAACAAGGAGTTCTCTCATAGTGAGGAGGTAGCATCCCCTCAGGGAGTGTTCAGAGCCTCACATGGTCTTGTTATCACAGTGGCTGCTGTGGGGAGTTACACAAGACACTCTTGACCTGAGTCTTCAGTCCAAGCCAAATATTCCAAATATGGGGGGAGAGAACACTCAAGGCAAGAAAAACATGAACAATGTAATAGATATATCATTATTAATTATATTCAGATCTGTCAAGTATTTCAAGATTAAAGAAGAACTGAATGGGATAGATTAAGGTACAACTTTTTTTTGAAAGTCCTTTTGCAAACCATGTAAAATATAATAGAGATGTGACCAAAGGCAACAACCTAGAGACAGAAAGGAGAAAAAAAAACCAAAAAACTTCAGTCACATAAAGACGACAGAATCACATTTTTGTTGATCCAGATTAGTTTGGGCCAAATATAAAGAGTTCACTTCCGTGGGGAGAATCATAAAGCAATCTAGTGCAGGAATATTGCTGTTGAGGTGATCTTGCCGCTAAAGCCTGCTGGCTGGGATCCTGATGCCTCTGTGAGACATCAGGTGATCTCTCTCTGAGAGACAGAGGTGGCACAGAGTTCATGGGAAAAGACACAGGGTCTGTGGCTGAGAAGGGGTGTCTCAACAGGGAGGGTTTCAGCACCCAGAGTGCCATCAACAGTCGGTGGGTCCCTTATGTCTCGTCTTCAGCAGACGAAGGGTCAGAGGGGCTGCGTTTCCTCCTGTGTCATTGAAACCAGTACTGAAGAAGGGCCGCAGAGGTCCAGTGAAGTCACATTCAGAGAAGAGGTAGATGAGGGAGCCGTTGTCAGTGATGTTGTAAAAGGAGACAGTGCCAGCCTCATAGTCTAGGAAAATCCCGACTTGGCGTGGAGGCACTCGAAGGTGGAGGGGAGTCTGAGGGTAGGTGCTAGCCTCATATTTTTGTTTACTCCACAACCAAATTGTCCAGAAGCCATTCTCGGAGCTGGGAGAAAAAATACCCTTCCTCCGTACCGTGTCCCTGCAAACCCCCAGGTCCCAGGCCTCCTTTCCCGTCACATCTACCTCCCAGTAAAATTTTCCAGAGTTGAAGCGCTGAGCACCCAGGACCATGGGATAATTGTCAAATCTCTCTTCATTCTCAGGTACCTCCTGCCGAGAGAGTCCAAGCTTCACTTGTCTTCGATCCTCTGAAAGGAGGAGCCAGGGGTTGGCTGTGTCTGGATCCAGAGTGACGTGCACTGTAGAGAGAGGACCACAGTCAGGTCTCCTGTGGGGGAAATCAGTAACCTGTGCCTATGGTGGGGGGATTTGTGTAAACTCCAGGGCGAGGATGAGGGTGACCCTGAACCTCAACCTATAAGGAAGTGACCCTCAGCCAGTCCGGCCTTTGCCCTGACCTTTGAGACAACCATCTTCCCTACCTCCGTCTCTTCCCTATCTCCGTCTCTTCCCTACCTCCGTCTCTTCCCTACCTCCGTCTCTTCCCTACCTCTCTTCCCTACCTCTCTCTCTTCCCTACCTCTCTCTCTGCCCCACCTGCTCCGGCCTGCCTCGGAGCTGCTGTCCATTCTTCTTCCCCCTTACCCCGGGACCCACTCTGCACCCTCGGTATCCCCTGCAGCTCCAGCCCCACAGCTCCTGGAGCTCGCCTCACCTCCACACATCCTCAGCACGTCCTTCAGCCCCGGCACACAGCACACACTACTCAGGTTTGGGGAGACAACGTCCAGGTTCTTCACGTTGCAGGACTCACTCCTGGGGAAAAGAGAGTTTGAGACTCCTTTCTTCCACTCCTACCTCCTATGTCAAACTGTAATGCTACAACTTCTGATAATTCAACTCAATTTCACAAACAACTCTTGTATTCAGGTCTCTGAGAGAGGAGGTGAGAGGTAAAAATGTAGGATTTAGTTCCTACACAGGAGTTTCTGGTTATATGAGGCTCTGCGGCATGTGGACAGCCTATCTCTTCTCCAAGCCTGAGGTCAGCATATATCATCACATTCTATTTAATTTTACAGGCAAAGCATCTGATATAGGCTGAATTACTTTTGTAAAGAAACTCAAGGAGTCTTGCCCATGCTGTGGGTCTTATCATGGCCTTTCTGAGAGGTTTGTAATTGATTATATTCCATTTAAAGAGGAAATCCCAGCAATCTGTAGTCCTAGAACTTCCCAGAATTTCCCTGTTTGGCAGGCCTTTACTGGGTGCAGATATTATAATCCAATTACTTTGGGGAATTCACCAACTGAGGTGTCCATGTGTTAGCCTTCTGAGACCAAAAAACTATTTTATAGAGCATCAGATCTTTGAAAATAGGGAGGCGGATGGAGAAAATTTCAGTGCAGGTATTTATAACATGATAACTTTTTTCATATATGCTTCCTGCTATCCCCTCTTCTAACAAAGAAAACTTCTCCTTACCTTTCCAGGACAATTTTCACATCCTGAGGAGAAAAGAGACAGAGAGTAAGTTCTGGAGTTTCTGTTTCACCACCGAGATTTCAGCCCTGTGGGCGATGTGATACCTTCTTGTGGTCCCTGGGGCACTGCCCTTCCCCTTCCTCTGGACTGAGGCCCAAAAGATGATTCTGACCAGCTTAGAGCAGAAAGGATGTGTGGATGTTTGTGGAATCACCAGGGTGTGGTGTGTGGGTGTGACTTATGGCTAGGTAAAGATCATCAGCTTAAGGACTCTGACTCAGAAAGACCAGGTTCTTGGGGGCAGGGGAGAGGAGGGAGGAGGGTGGAAGAGGGCAAAGAGTCCAGCCTGGCTGAAGTCCAGGGACAGTCACACAGAGAAAATGGCCAAGTAGGATGCCCAGAACCTGCTCTATTTCACTTGAGGGCTTGTGTTGTTTGGGGAGGAAGGGTTGGCTAGTTAGAGCTCTGTCCTGTGCTATAGTTAATGTTCCCCCTCCTGTACAGGAGATAAAATCATCTGAGAATATTCTGTTGCAGGGGCTGGGCATCCTTACATGGGAGCTGGCAGGCTCCAAGGCCCAGTCCAAAGTGCTTTAGAAAGCCTGGTTCAAGGCTGGGCAGAAGAAAGTTGAATACAATCAGCTTTTTTTTTTGCACAAACCAGAAAGAAATGGCTTCATGACCACATCTGACAGAGACAGTGAAAAGGTATGGGAAAAAGAAGAACTACAGGATATTAGAGCAGAAGGGACTTCTGAGACCATCTAGTTCATAGTTTCCCAAAGTGAGGCAAACATATCACTGATGGAAGTGAGGTGATTTTAAGTAGAACATATAGTGATGGTTTTTCTAAAAAAGTTATATATTTATTTTAATCTTAACTCTACATCTTACTGTTTAGGTAAACCTGTTCAAGTTATATAGCTTTAGTCTCTCACTAAGTTTCAACATCTCTGGATCTTGGTCTTCCCATCTATGAAACAGAGATAATAGCAGCACCACCTGAATGCCTGACCGGAAATATGGGCTATTTAAGAATTTGCAAGCACTCTGGGAGACTGAGGCGGGAGGATCACTCAAGGTCAGGAGTTCGGAACCAGCCTGAGTAAGAGCGAGACTCCGTCTCTAATATATAGAAAATATTAGCCAGGGACGGTGGTGCATGCCTGTAGTCTCAGCTACTCAGGAGGCTGAGGCAGAAGGATTGCTTGAGTCCAGGAATTTGAGGTTGGTGTGAGCTAGGCTGATGCCATGGCACTCTAGCCCGGGCAACAGAGTGAAACTGTCTCAAAAAAAATTGCAGTTAATATTATTGTTATAAAATAAGAAACACCAGTAACACATAAACACATGATTTCCCAGCTCCTACTGCTTTGGAAACATTTCCTTTTAAACTTAATTTATTCAGGGAAAAGGATAAGACAATTTAAAGAAAAATAACATGTTAAAATAATATAGATAGTTCACAAAAGTAGCAGAAAATGTAAAGATAAGACATTTATGACTAAAGTTTGGCAATCCTTGTTATTTAGTCCATTCCCTCTCTTGTTTCACAAATGCAGAAATTAGGTCCAGGAAAGGAAAATGACTTAACCTAGAGTTATGGAGAGAATCGGTGGCAGGGCTAGGGCTTGGCTACTGCCTCTTAATTTTCAGTTTAGTGTTTTTAGTTATGTTACATTTACTTTAAAAATCTTTTCATGGCCAGACACTCAAAGAGCCTTACTATATTTTCTAATTTAATCCTCATAAAATCCTTTGAGACCTGTAATATTAGAATGTTGATTTAACATGTGAGAAACTGGACCTTGATCAGAAAGATCAAGGTCCTACACTTGGTATGTGTTAGAGCAACACTTACCAGGGATGGCCATTTCTGTAAATTTTTGAATGGAATATTCCCTCCTAATCTGTACTCTTCTGTGCCTTGAATGCAAACCACTCATGGGTCTGAATTCCAGTTTGTTTAAGAATAGCCCAGGGACCAGGTTTCTGTTTGTTCTAACGGTAGCTCCAGACAGCTCTGGCTTTTTTCAGTTACTTCTTGCAATTCAGAGGGGGCCTCCATCCTCCTCTTACCTGCAGCAGCTCCAGTGCTGAGCTGTGGCTCCTCCGCTCCAGCTCTGAGATCAGCTCCTGCAGGGCCTGGCTCTGCTGGGCCAGCTCAGCCTCTTTCTCCCCCAGACGTCTCAGCTGTTCCCTCTCATCTTTCTCAAGCTCTTGCAGCTGCCTCTCTTCCTCTTTGGCGAGGAAGATTTTTTGCTTTGCAAACTCTGCATGAATCGTAGATTTTTGTGTCTCAACCTTCCTCTTTGGTGTCAAGGAAAAGAGAGAGAGAGAGAGAGATGGTTTTTATTAAACTCTCCCAGGCTTTGGGAATGGGAGTATCAGTACCTATCTCTAGTCCCTGTAGACTCACTCATGCTGTCTGGGAATGAACACACGCACGCACGCTGGGGAGGTAGGTGGGTGAGGCTTCTGGGACTGAGAGAGGAACGAACGGGATTGGTAGAGAGCCCATTGTTGCTGGCCTACCACCATAGCTGGACGAACCTGTTGCATCAGAGACATTTTTCAACCTCTCTTCCAAAACCGAGTCACCACTCAAATGTGTTGCTTTGTCTTCATGTCTCAGTGAGTTACCAAGAGGGGAACACCTGTTTTTACTCCAATAACCTCACAAAGTCAGGTTCACAATATCATCTACCATCCCTAAGTCCTGGGAAAGGGTAGCTTTGGGACCTTTGTTGCTCTCCCTTTCCTGCCAGGAGCTGGAAGGCTACCCAGTGACACAGGATGATTCCTTTTGCCACTGCAGCCTGCCTCACCCTTCCTCAATCCCAAATCTTCCTCTTCTGGAATGCACTGTCCATTCTACTCCTCTCTAATGCCCTGACATGCCCCAACTCTACTAACAAATCACCAGCGCGGAATGAACTTTGGTTCTCCATTATTATTGTGGACCAACGACTTGGATACATTCAAGCAACTAACTAGTCAGATGACTTTTTCTACCCCAGGCCTTGATGGTTCCCTGAAGTCTATTCCTCACAGTCCTTGGTAGTTCCTGAAAGACCTATCAGTTGGACTTCTCTCCGAGGGTACCTCTGTCCCAGACAACAAGGTACTGATGCTGTTTGCTGCCGAGACTGGGCTCAGAGGAGCAGTGGGCTTTAGGGTATAGCTCAACCCTCTCAGAACCTTCTTCCATGATTCTTGATCTTTATGCCTTTATGGGGAGCTCTCCTTTGAGCCTCCATTCTGTTTATCCCCTCTCTCTGGAGATCTAGAGGTCAGTTGGTATATCTCATTCCTCAGACAGAGATGGCTATGGTTAAGGCTGTGAGTCCAGGACCCTGGGCCCTACCCAGCCTTCAGGACAAGATTCTTGCCTTCCAGTCTGCTCTCTTCACTGCAACTTCCACTTCTAAATGCTCAGCTGCCTCCTGTTTTCTCCTCAGTTTTTCCAATGCCACCTGGAGCTTCTCCTGCAGAGGAAGATAACAGATTAGTCCCAAACCAGACCGAGTAGTAGGCTGGGGTGATCCTTGAAGCACTGTCCTATAACATAGCCCCTGCTCCTAGGGAATGAGAAGGTTGTGTTTAGCCTGCAATTATCCCCTTACATTAGGCATGGAAGGAAGAACGCCCTTCCTTTCCCCATCTCCTCAACTCCAGAGGTGACTCTTTCCCATCCCCACTTCTGGGGAGCAAAGCACTTATCAGGGCCCACCTTCTTTCTTCCTGTTGGTGTCTCTGTGTTAAGGCCTCACCTGGTACTCCTGAGCAGCCTCCTCGATAGGGAGCCTGGAGTGGTCACGGTGTTTACGAGATTGGGCACACACCCAGCAAAGGACATTCCCATCGTCCTCACAGAACAGGTGAAGTTTCTCTCCATGCACTGCACACTGCATCCCCGGTGTGCCCTGCTTGGTGGCATCCTGGCTCATTTTTCTCAGGTTTTCCATCATGTTGGCTACCTGCCGGTTGGGTCGTAGGTTCTTGAGCTGAAAGCGTTGCCTACACACAGGACAGATGCTGCGCCCGTCTCTCTCAACCTCAGAGATGCATTCCCGGCAGAAGCTGTGGCCACAGTCGATGCTCACAGGATCCACAAAGGGATCCAGGCAGATAGGGCACGTGACCTCCTCCCACATCATTGCCAGGGGCATTGCTGAGGCCATGGGGGTGACAAGTTCCAGTTAAGCAACACTGGGGAGACCTGGTAGGGAGAGAAAAAAGGGAAAAGAGAAGACAAGAGGAAGTTTGCATGAGAAAACAATGCAAGGGAAAACAGAGGAAGAGTGAACTGGAAGGATGGAAACAAGAAAACATAAGAACATCAACCTGAACAAGAACTTCTCCTCCATAGTCTGGTCCACTGATCCGATCAGTCAGAAGGAGAAACTGCATCTCCCAAACAGGCAGGGAAAATTGGTGGGAACCTCAGAGCTAAAGCTGTTGACAGTTTTTTCATCATGTCCATCCCTGCTCAAACCCTCAGTGCCCAGGTGTTTCCCACCCATCTTCTCCCATCGTAAGCCAGCAGGCCCCGTGTTGCTGATATGATGCAGATTATAACGGAGCATTATTATCACAGGAACAGTGGCCATTGCCCAGCACCTCCCACGTGCCAGAGATGCTACTGCTTTGCCTACATCTTCACTGATCATTACAATCATGCACACAGGTGTTGAGAGCACTCCCTGGGCTCTTTCTTCTCTCACCTGCTCCAAACCGACTTCCTGTCTTCATGTACTCTCGGGCATAGAGCAGTCTTCAAAGCACACACATTTCTAGTTGAAGGCCCTAAACAGCCTGCCCCTCTCTCTCCTGGGTGGGATGGGGGAAACTTTGGCAATGGGAGTCTCAAACATTGCAGACCTCCTCCACACCGGGCGGGGTTAGTCCCGGTTTTCACAGCTCCATCTGCCCCACCCCCCAGCTCAGGTGCCGGTCTCGGGGCAGCTCCAGCCACTGCGGGGTGACTCCCAAGTCACAGTCACCCCCCAGCCCCCTCCCGGGAAGAAGGGCCATCGCGGAAACAACTGCGGCGCTTGGGCGGAGGGAGCCCGGCAGCCGAGAAGGGGCAAATGGGGCAGGCTCCAGCGGTGGGGACCGGTCGGTCGGAGGGGGCTCTTCTCCGCTGGAGTGCGCGGAGGAGGAGAGGGGTCTCCTAGGGAGGGCAGGGGTCCCTGGGTCTAGCGGGTTCACTCACCAGATCAGCAGAGTCCAGAAGGCCGGCTCCCTATTTCACTTTCATTTTCCGCTCACCCGCAGGACTTAAAGGAAAGGGGCGGGGCGGTGAGTGGGCGGGGCCAGGGGCGGGGCGGAGTGACGCGGGCGTGGGGAGGGGCAGGAGAGCGTGGCGGAGCGGGAGGGGGGCAGGGGAGCGAGTGGGAGGGACGGAGGGAGTGCAGGGGACAGAGCTGGGCACCGTAGCTGTCAAGGCTTTAGGAAGCTGGGACCCAGCGAGAGCAGCTCAGCCCGTGTCACCGTCCCCTGTTCAGGGCGCACGCCTCCAGTCTTCATGATCTGATCCTGTAGGATATTCTATCTACAGGAGGAGTTTTTTCTCTGACACTGGTCATCACCCCACACCTAGATGCTATGTCCACGTGTGGAAGTTGCTTTTAAGGAGGTGTGGATGCAAAGAAGAGTGTCTAGTGCTCTCCCTCAAGTGCCACCATTTGCTTCCTACTTCCAGAAGGGAATTCTCTTTCACGTGACTGGTACTCTTGTAATACTTGGGTGTGAGAGATTTACACTGCATGACCCCAAGGCAGGTGTCACGTCAGTGAGTGGGAAGAAGGGAACAGGTATTCATTGAGAAGCAGCTGTGTTCTTGCCATTGAGCTAGGGATATGCTCAGGTTATATTATCTTTATTTTTAAATTGTGGTAAAATACACAGAGCATTTACCATCTTAACCATTTTTAAGTGTACAGTTAAGTGGCAAAGAGTGCACTCATATTGTGTGACCATCGCCATCCATTTCCAGAATGTCATCACCCCATACTGAAACTCTGTGCTCATTAAACAATGATTCCCCACTCTCCCCCACCCCACCTCCACTCCCCAGCAACATTTTTTTTTTATTTAACACCTTTACATGCAGCAAAAACATTTTTTTTTTAACATATAAAAAAACCAGACTTTATTTTCAAAGCATACATTTTTACTGGCTGAGTGAAAGAACTCTATGCAAAAGCAAGGCAAGGATTGGGAGTGGTAGAATATAATAAGAGAGGAGAATGTAAATTGTATTTTCTATGATATACTCCCTCCACTATGAGGATGTTTATCAAGAAAAAATATGACAATCACAGATACTTCTAGATGATCGTTTCTTCACATATTTTAAGTGTATTCTCCACTACCCACCTAAGACATTTACTTGATATTAGTTGTGAATATATTTTTTTGTACTTTATTGAGGTAAAATATACATAAAAATTTACCATCTTTACCATTTTACATGTACAATTCAGTGATAATAACGACACACATATTTTTTTCCCTTCTTCCTCTCCTCCCCCCAGCCCTTCCCCAGCCTCTGGTAGCCACCATTCTACTCTCTATCTTTGAGATCCACCTTTTTTTTAATCCCACATATAAGTGAGATGATACAATATTTGTCTTTCTGTGCTAGGCTTATTTCACTTAACATAATTGACTCTAGTTCTGTCCATGTTGCTGCAAATGACAGGCTTTCATTTTTTTTGTGGCTGAATAATATTCCAATGTGTATATATACCATATTTTCTCTATCCATTCATTGATGGGTACTGAGGTTGATTCCATATTTTGATCATTATGAATAGTGGTGCAATAAACAGGAGTGCAGATATCCCTTCAATATATTGATTTCCTTTCTTTTGAATATATGCCCAATAGTGGAATTGCTGGATCATATGGTAGGTCCATTTTTAGTTTTTTGAGGAGCTCCCATACTGTTTTGCCTAGTGGCTATACTAATTTACAGTCTCACCAACAATGTATGAGGATTACCCTTTTTTCCACATCCTCCCAGTATCTGTTATTGCCTGTCTTTTTTATATAAACCATTTTAACTGAGGTAAGATGATATCTTTTTGATATCATTTAGTTTTGGTTTGCATTTCTCTGATGATTAGTGATGTTGAACATTTTTGTCATATACCTCTTGGCCATTTGTGTGTATTCTTTTGAGAACTGTCTATTCTTTTCCCATTTTTAAGGCAGATTTGGGTTTTATTGAGTTCTTTGAATTCTTTATATACTCTGGCTATTGATCCTTGTCAGATGGCTAACTTGAAAATATTTAATCACTTGTAAGATGGATAGCTTGCAAATATTTTCTTCCATTCTGTAGGATATCTCTTGGCTTTTTTGATGGCTTTCTTTGCTGTGCAGAAAGTTTTCAGTTTGATGTAACCCTATTTGTCTATTTTTGCTTTGGTTGCCTGTGCTTTTGAGGTCTTACACAAAAAATCTTTGCCCAGACTAACGTCTTGAAGCATTTCTCCAATGTTTTTGTCCAAGTAGTTTCATGGTTTAAGTCTTTAATCCATTTTGATTTTATTTTTGTGTATGGTGAGAGATAGGGGTTTAGTTTCATTCTGTGTACAGTTATCCGGTTTTCCCAGCACCATTTATTGAAGAAATTGTCCTTTCCCCACTGTATGCTCTTGGTGCCTTTGTCAAAGATAAATTGGTTATAGATATGTGGATTTATATCTGGGTTTTTTTATTATGTTCTGTTGGTCCATGTATCTGTTTTTATGATAGTACCATACACTTTTGGTTACTATAGCTTTGTAGTAAATTTTGAAGTCAGATAGTTTTGTTCTTTTTGCTCAGGATTGCTTTGGCTATTCAGAGTCTTTTGTGGTCCCACATAAATATTAGAATTTTTTTCTATTTCTTTGAAGAATGTCATTGTTATTTTAATACAGATTGCATTGAATCTATAAATTGCTTTGGGTAGTATTGTCATTTTAACATAATTCTTCCAATCCATGAGCATGGAATGTATTTCCATTTTTTTTGTGTCCTCTTCAATTTCTTCAGAGTTTTATTTTATAGTTTTTGAGTATTGTTCTGTCTTTTCTCATAATACCAAAAAAACTGTTTTTGAATTTTTTTTCTTTCCTTTCTGTCTGGCCACTTCTGAATATTCTTTGCTGGCCTCTTTCCCTCCACTATTAGTGTTGGAAAGGCTCACAGCTGTATACTGGGCCCTCTTTCCTTCTCCTTCTAACCTTCCTCATTAGGATATCCAACTGATTTCCTGTATCTTTAAAAAGCATCTAAATATTATGAATAATTAACAGAATCAAGAACAAAAACCATACAATTATGTCAATAAATGCTGAAAAAGCATTTGATAAAATTCAACACAGTTTTATGATTAAAAAAAAAACCTCATCAAAACATCAAAGTGAGTATAGAAGCAACATACATCAAAATAATTAAGGCCACATATGATAAACCCACAGCCAACATGTTGAATGGGGAAAAACTGAAGGCCTTTCTTTTAGGGATAGGAACAAAACAAGGATATCCATTCTCACCACTTTTATTCAACATCATACTGTAAGTCCTGGCCAGAATAATTAGGCAAGGAAAATAAAGGGCATCCAAATTGGAAAGGAAGAAGTCCAGTTAGCCATGTTTGTAGATGGCATGATCTTATACCTAGAAAAACCTAAAGACCCATCCAGACAACTATTGGAGCTGATAAATGAATTCAGTAAAGTTTCTGGATACAAAATCAGCATACAAAAATCAGTAGCATTTATATATGCCAACAGTGAACAATCTGAAAAAAGGTCAAGCAAGCAATCCCATTTATAATAGCTACAAAAAGTATAATATACCTAGGAATCAATCTAACTAAAGAGATGAAAGGTCTATATAAGAAAAATCTTTTTTCTTTCTCTATGACTTTGACTTTTCCAGGTACCTGATATAAATGGAACCATAAAGTATTTGTCCTTTTATGACTGGCTAATTTCACTTAGCATAATGTCCTTAAGATCCATGCATGTAGCATGTGTCAGAATTTCCTTTCTTTTTAAGACTGAATAATAAATATTCCATTAATGTATACCATATCTTGTTTATCCATTCATCTCTTGATGGACACCTGTGTTTCTTCCACCTTTTGGTTATTGTGAATAATGCTATGTCTGGTTTTATTTAAGCCACAACAATTTGGTGACTTAGGGGTTATTATCTTTACATCACAGGTGGGGACACTGAGGCTGAAAGGAGTGAAACGCTGGCTTGAGCCAAGTAAGCACAAGTGCTCAAGAGTGAAAGGTCCAGGGAAGACTCTCATTTTAGTGATATCTCAGAGTAAACAGACTATCCTGTCCAAACAGAAGCTGCAGGGCAGCTAGTAGGTGTGTGGCCTTAAAATGTAGAGGAGAAAAGAGAAAGGTTGGTGAGGCTAGAGTTCTCCATTCATTCCAATTCAGCCATCTTGTCTGTTTATTTTTGTACCTTATAACTTAAGGTAAAAAAAAAATCAGTTGAACTTTGGTATTTCTTATAGATTTAAGAAACCTAAAAAGACTTCATTCTTTGAAATTTCTAGTTGTTTTTAAGAGAATTTTTGCTCAGCAAAAGGCTATATCAGTTGATATCTAATGTGTACATTGTGCTTCTGTACTCAGATTTGATCCCAGGCACATAAACAAGCCCAGAAAGCAGAATGAAAAGAGTGAAAAAAAAATTGAAGGAGACAACTGTATTTGAATTTGCAGACACTCAGAAAATGACTCTGCTTCACATCACTGCGGACTCTGTTGTTTCCTGCAGGCATTGACTAAACCATTGTTGGGAGGGGTAGAAAAGAACATGGGGTCTCATGATAAGGCAAATGTGGATTTAGTGCTGACTCTGCTATTTACTAGCTAGGTGCCTGTTTCTCTAAGCCTCAGTTTACTGTCCATCTGTAAGAACCTGAAATTTCTAACTTAAATTTCAATGCATAAAAATAGGATGTGTGATAGGTATGGGAAGGCCTATATTGGGCTGTAGCCTGGGAGGACAGAGGTTCGTTTCCAGGTTGGAAGAACCACTTGGAGGATCTCAGGGACTGCTAATGGCATCAAGCAGACTGAACTTTGAAACATCCTGTTCTCTAATCTCCAAGACACACTGGGGCCTACAGTGGAACAAAGAGGAGCCAGGACATTGGTAG